ACCCAAGGTAAATATACACCAAGTATCAAAGCATTAGGCTTGTAGTTTCAAGAAAAAGTCGAAAAAGTAAAACATTGACACGGACGACGACGACGGAGGACAATCACTCATATGATAAGCTCCGCTCGACAAAGTCGACAGCGGAGCTAAAAACTGAACATTATTTGTTACATCAATAAAAGTTCATTAAAGAAATGGATTATATAACAAAGCCTGCTGACGTTTTTCCATTAAATTTCCATTAATCTAGTCCATATCAGCAGTATACATGTACTTACCTCGTTTGGGTTTCGGAAAACTATCGTGAAGGTGAAAAACAACCTTATCAACAAAATGCTGTATATTACTTCCTTCTGGTCCTCTAACAAATACCCACCATTCGTGGGTAAAACCTTCAACAGTGGGCTTCTTGCGAAATGAAGCGCGGTGTCCAAGTTCTAACTTCACCTGCACACACTGTTGAGAAGGAACACAAAAAGGGTTATATATTACCCAAATAATCATTTGATTGCCTGTTCTAAAGATTAATGTCCTAAAGATTAATATCTTGCACATCTACTGCTTTTCATATCCGTTACCAATAGACACAACATAATCACTGAAAGATTGTTGAAACCAGAAACAGTCATGGTTCGTTAGTTTTGAAGGCTTTGGTGAGGAATATGAAGAGAAGAAACCTACAAATTGAAACAAATTAATTACACTATGTTTTCAATCTGAACAGAATGTTATTAATTACGAATATATCCATCTAAGGAGACAGATTAGAGTGTACATTATTCCACATGGAAACAAAATGTAATAATGCTGACACAAATGCCATGATATAAGGATATTTGGGTGTTGTAAGTTTCAGGTCATGGGGAAAATGAGTAAAAAAACAAAACATGTAGTTAGTTTAGAACTGGTAACACATTGCACACTAGACATGAATAAAGATTTGGACATATGATAGTCACAGTGTTAATGTAATATTTCATCATACATATGTTTTGAAAATTAAGACATATCAGACGATTTGAAATAGTTACTGTTTAACATCTTTTTTTTCTTCAACTGGGTAACGATATATGCAGACTCCTACACATGCTTAAGTACATTGTGTGCGATTAGGGCGAGATCCTCTACTGTTGCGTGAATCATACCAGAAGTCACCTCATTCAGCGATAACTACATAAAGTGGGGCACGAAGAATTGTGCTGAATTAAGCAGATGAAGTTGGTCTGAGAGATTGTTATCACAGTTGGAAAATTATGATTCAAACCATATTTTAACAAGTTGTGACATGACTTTTTCAATGTAACCATTTTTTTCAATGTATGATTATTTTGGAGTCCATGTGCATATAAATTGTATGCTTCACGATAAGTATTAAAAATAAATGACTGAAATCACTCAAGTATATTAATATTTTCACCACCAGACTTTCTCACCCAAAATTGTTTTGTACTTTGTTCTTATATTTTTCAATATTTCTGGAAATTAACCCTAATTTTGGAGCCGACAAAATTTGAGTCAATTTTTAGTTTTCACCTAAAAAAATTTGGCTATTTTTGTCCCAATCTTCTAAAAAAAATGTACAGACTATCAGTGGGACTATTTTGTGAATTTGTGATGAAAAGAGGGAACTGGTGGTGAAAAGGTTAATAAAGACTGGCAATTAGTTATATACAATTAAATGTCTGAAATCCATCTCCACAAAGACTTGATTTGGTACATTTGTAATAGAATACATGTAAATACAATGAGTCAGGCATCATGAATGCATGTCCATGTGCGACATGGTGGATGATGTACATGTGCATGTATGCAAGAAGATTGAATGTGAGTAGAATTGATTGCCAGTCAGTCATTTTGAGTCGGATCTGGGAAAAAAAATGGCATGAATCATAGTTATATAATACCTAATGTATGTACTAAGTTTTAAAAATAAATCCATTCACATCCACACGGCCAAAATTCGGTTCCAGAATGGCAGAAATGATAGATTTTAATGAATTTACAGCCAAAAAATTGCTATCTTGAATGAACGTGCATATGTTACCCATAATGTATACATGTATGATTTATATGTGAAGTTTGGGGATCAGTAAAGGCTTGTCTAAATACAGATGGGGGCCACACACACACAGGTAAACTCATCATATTCCATTAAACAACAGGGTTTGTGACATGTGTAACAAAGGTCTAATTGAGGATGAAATGCATTTTCTGCTGGAATGCAACAAATATAATGAGTTGCGTACCAAACTGTTTAATAAAGCTAAGGATTTGATCCCAGCATTTGAAAATTAACCTGCAGAGAAAAAATTCATGGAATTGTTACAGAATGAGAACATTATTATACAAGTAGCACAGTTCATAAGTAAAAGCTTTGAAGTCAGGAAGCAGGGTCTTACTTGACATCTTAATGCCTGCTGTCAATTTAGTAATTTCATATTAGTTAGTATTTTAGAGATTTTGTATTATTTAGTGATTGTATTTGTTATTTAGTATATTGTTTTTTTATATATATTTGTCTCCTTGTACTTTGTGACCATTTTCTTTCCCTCCGGGGATTGTGTAAGAATAAACAAACAAACAAACAAACAAATAAATAAATATCCTTGTATTCGGGTCATAATTCTTATAAAAGAGATTTTAAAAAGAACAGTTCTTTTGAACTCTAGTTTTAAATGAAGGACATTTTGAATCTTATATTAAATTAGCTAAAATAACACGTGTTTTACAGCAGGTTAACACTCTTCCTCTAATTTGAACACAATCCACTTTTTTATTTGTTATCCATATCAGGTGCTATTTTTATCTCTAGTACAGCTGTTCATAAGCACACCAACTAGTACACGCTAAGCTGACAAAGTTTTCACATGAGGACACATGGTGGCAATGTATGTGGGCCTAAATTTTCAGCAGGTGCAGTGTGGAGTGTACTGACGAGAAAATAATGTTTTTATTCGTATTTATTATTGAAATAAAAAACATATGCACATGTGTGCCTTTAACTTTTACACCACCAAAATTTCTCATCCAAATTTTTCTGCACTTTTTTCTTTATTTTCTTTAATATTTCTGGAAATGAACCCTAATTTTGGAGTCAAAGGACATAATTTAAATAAATTTTCAGTTTTTACTCAAAAAATTTGAATATTTTTGTCCCAATCTTCTGAAGGAAAGTGCAGACTATAAACGCGACTATTTTGTGAATTTGTGATGAAACGAGAGAACTAGAGGTGTAAGGGTTAAAGTTTCAAATAAACTGAATGCTAATAGCTTCTGTACAAAATAAATGTACATATACTGAAAAGTTTATTACTTTGATGCATTTCATTTTCAAAGACGGACTCTGAGTTTCTGGGATTCAATATTTCAACAGACACTAGTAAATGGAAGGTGATTTTATTTTCTCACAACACTCAGTTTCTCTAGTTCCCTGCCAGACCGAGCTTCAATAGCTTACAACCAGTGCGATTTGTTTGCTTTAATTAAAAACAGCAGTGCATCCTGACTGACACAATTGGAGCTTCTGAAACCGCAATGAAAGTTCATTTTTCATCTCACTGTTTTGTGGCAAACATCAGAGGTTGTGGTTTACCATACATAAAGTCCAACAAAGGTTCTTCCAATTTACAACTACCGTACTCTTTTGGTGATGACAATTCCAGATCTACATTTGTTTGACCAAAATATACTCATATTATCAAACTTGTGTTTAATAGTGACCATCTCTTTATAAAGACCACCTACCTATAGTAACCACTTATTTTGTATGATCAACCTGCCATATGTAACAACCATTTCAGCAAATATTCCCACATTTGTTCAAAAGACCAAAATAATAGTCAGTATTCCATTTATAAAACAAATTTTTAACTTTCTTAAATCAATCTCATTTCACTACTTTCTGGAAAAATAAAGTGTAAAACGTACATGTACGAGTTGGTAATCCTCTACAATCCAATCTCCATATAAAGACCACACGTTTATAAAGATTATTTTCATGAAGTTGAGTGGTCCCTTAAACACATGACTTTGACTTTTGTGTGGAAACCTACATTTATGTAGCGCAATAAGTATAACCTTGCCCTTGCTGAGAGACACCAGGTGCATCAAACAAGAGAATGTGCATATGTGCGTCAAAACAAAATTCATGCACAAAGTCTAATTTTAACTAGAATGGTAGGCTGAATACCATGCATATAATCTAAACATTTTATAAACACCATATAAACATTTACTTAATGCTAATCGAACATCAATTCCTAGGCACCCTTGCGGTTGCTATATGTTGGAATTAATTTGTGCTGAATAGACTTTTTGGGTGTTTTGTATGGAATTTATTTTCACTGATTTTTGACGAGTTGAATGTAAAATATAGGGGAAAAAAGTATAGTCACTAGATTTGATTTTCACTGAATCATTCTTTCAGCGAAAATAAAGTATTCCCACAGTAAGATCCAACATAAGCTAGCTATTTAAAGGTAACATTTGGTTGATACATGTATTACAACAATTAAATGACAAAATTTCTATGATTCTGGATTTTAAAAAAACACAATGGCTAGTATTATGAAGTTCATTACTGAGGAAATAATCTTTGTTACTACCTTATACTAAAATATGTTTGGCTATTTGGAGTACATGTAGTAACAAATTCCTGCTTCAGGTCTGGTTAGACTTAAAATACACCACGAACATTCACTTTTGAGATACCGTACAGTACTCATTTCGCCCAACCTCCCGCCCGCTTCCGGATTTCGATCGCTTTTTTTTTCGCTCGCTTTGTTCAATTCGACCGCGCAAATCCGGAAGTATCCGCTCGCGCAATCGCTCACTCGCTCGCTCGCCTGACAGCGCAACCGCCCGCATTTACAGTTCATTACCTACTGTTTCATGTACAAGTGTATCATTTTTGTTTTTATGATGTTAAAATAAGAATAAATACAATCAAAAATTTATAGAACAACCGTTGAAAAAATACGGTGGATCACACGGCCATATAAAATTGGTAATAATACATACGCGCAGTAATAATGTTCACCATAAACAAGATCGAACCAAACATGTGAAATCAAATACGACACTGACACAGACACAACTAATATGAAATAAAACCATTCTATTTTTGGTGGAGAGCGAAAAATGTCTACTGCAGAGTACGGTATTCGTTGAGTATAAACCGTGTGTAGGGTGACGGTTGTCATGCACGCATGGTTTGGGTTTAACACGGGTCAAGTTGTAGTTATGTTAAAATCCGTAGCACCTATAACAATTGAAGAATATCTGCAGGAATAGTAAGACTGTGAAAAAAACGACCAATCGATTGTTATAGTGTACAATTTGTCAAACAAATACAATACTTGCAAATGTAATGTCGGCCAGCGCCCATCTTACTTGTCCGAAGTTGTCAAAGCCGACATCAATGGAGATCGCGTTTTTTAACTAGGCGGCTGGCAAGC